CAGCCGGGCAGGGGAGCGAGTTTACATTGTGGGTTGTTAGTAGTAGTACTAGTACTAGTAGTATAGTCTGAGGAGGAGGAGGAGGAGGAGGAGGAGTAGTAGTAGTAGTAGTAGTAGCGGTGGTGGTAGTAGTAGTAGTAGTGGCAGTGGTAGTGGTAGTGATGAATATCAACCCAATCCACCTTTGTGCTTTTAAAGGTGACGGATACTACTCATACTATGATTATATTATTACTATTGTTGTTATTTTTATTATTTTTAGTATTTCTATTATTAGTACTATTATTATTATCATTATTGTTCTTGACATTATTTTAATTATTATTATCATTAGTATTACTAAAACTTATTATTACCTATTATAGAACATAGTTGTTGTTACGAGTGTTTATGCATACATATGCCTATGTATCTGTATCTGTATATGTACATGTATATACTTATACATATAAGCATATATATATATGTCCATCTGTATCTGTCTCTCTCTCTATATATGTGTGTGTGTAGATATGGATATAGATATAGATATAAATATGCATTCTTAGATGTGTGTGTGTGTGTCTCTGTGTGAGTGTAAGTCTGTCTGTCTGTCTGTCTCTGTGTGTGTTTGTGTGTGTGTGTGTCTGTCTCTCTCTCTCCTCTCTCGCTCTCCATAGACTCGGATAGACAGAGCGAGAGAGACAGAGAGAGGGAGCATGAGAGAGAGCGAGAGAGAGAGGGAGAGAGAGAGCACAAACAAAATCATCGCGTGTAAGAAGATGCTGTGCGTCCTGCAGCTCCGTGCCGCAAAGGCAGATGCGGCCACTGCCCTTCTTCTCCTCGACGGTCAACTCTGGAATTTTGCGACCTCGCTTACGGCGCTTCTATTCACTGCGCCCGTATGTCTACCATTGAGTCAGGGTGGTGGTGATCGCGGTGATGGTGGTGGTGGTGATGGTGGCCATAATCGTCGTCGTAGCGGAGTACCACCAGCAGTAGCGCAGTACACTAGTACCAAAAGCTGTCAGCAGCACGACGAGACGCGGCCACGAAATTCTCAGTCCGAACTGCATCTCACGTGGACGTGCTGGCGTTGCTGCGGAATCGCCGAAACCATAGTCTTCCAAGGGCCGCGCGGGAAACGGGAAACAACAGCCTTTCGCAAGGTGGGCTGGCTGTGTTTGCAAGCTACAAGCTATCCTCCAGCACTCTTCAGATCATAGCTCGCAATTGGCCCAAGATGATGTGAAGCAAAGTCAGGTACAGCATCGTATCGGCTCGCACGTCGCAAGCCGACAAGCCATTAAGTATTCGCCGACCCCTGGCAGTTAATTATTTAAATTGGAAGGTATTCCTGCACACCGCCTCCCTTTCATACCCGCGGTAAGTTTCGAGCTTCCTGGCACCCGGTCTCTGGTGCTTTGGGTACCCGCCTGGCCCTCCTGCGGACACTTCCCGTTCAAGCACTCCAGGGCAGGACCCGTGCATGGAAAGTCGGGGCCGCTCCAAAGAGGAGAAGGACGCAGGCGAGACGCACGTGCCTGCAGGCGCCCCGAAGAGCATCAACCGCCGGCACATGCCCTACGCATGTCGGGAAGAACTCAACGGCCGACGAAAGGAGAGAAAGCGAGGTGCAGAGCAGCTAAGATCTGCATCAGCCTCTAACACTCACAGCTTCTGCATGGCCGCCATTGTCGTGGTCGGCGTCAGCAGTAGGACTCAGTAGGAGTAGGACGAGTAGTCGCGGTGGTCCTCGCCTTAAAGCGCCCGGCCACAAGACGCCCCAAACAAGGCCGCAGCGGGCTTCGTCAGCCACGACGTCCTCCCAGAAACGAAGATCCACCACCGCAACTATATCAGAGTTGATGCCAGGGCCATGGAAGCACTCCTCGAGGCCAGGCGACCTCAGGTGCATAAGGGCGTCCAGTACCGGACGGGACTCTCTGGGTGTGGCCAACATGAGCCGGGAGGCGTCGTAGCCCAGAAAGCCAGCCTGCAAAATGCTGGGCCCTGGGCTGAATGCTGTAGACTCACAAACCCGACACTCGCCCAACTCTTCCGATGCACCTGTCTTCAACCACCTGCACTTTTATTGCCTGCACAGGTCCAGCACAGATTTCCGTGCCTCGGGGCTCCAGCGTCTTACAGATAGACGAGTGGAGCCTCTCCCGCAGTTGCGATGCAGTCGATCTGAGTGCTTTCCTGCGATTAAGGGACAGCAGCACAGATGTTATGGCGCGCCTTGCCTCGCTGGGTGGCAGTCCTGCCGGCCCCTGCGCTTTAGCTTCTTCGGCCGCAGGACCGCGGCACGGTTGTGCGGGGAGTCACGGAAGGCGGTGCCGGCGTAGCCGGCGGTGCTCTCCTTTAACGAGCTTGAGAAGAGCTTGAGTTTGCGTCCGCTTGTTTGCAAAACTATGGCCTGGCGATCGCCTTTCTCTGGCAAGGCTTTCCACGCCGCTGGCCCCTTTCCCACATACATGTGCCTCCGAGATTTTTCAAGCCAGGGGACAACGTGAATGTGCCAAGTGACACATCTGACTCCAGGAGCTTCGAGGGTTCCGCTTAAAGAGAAGCCGCGTGTCCCCGGGTCTGGCGGCTTCGCTGCCATCCTGACACGCGCCCCCCGCTCTCTCACGCTCCCACCTCGGAAATCCGAGGTGGAGGCGAAGGGGGTGGAGGCCCAGAGGGGACTTCGAGCACGGGCAGATCCTTGGTACAGCTACACACAACGACGGGACCGGAGGAGGATCTACCGGGATCTACCAAGCGGAGCACCTAGATGGAAGTGGGCGGTGCTGGAGAAATACCTCCACAATAGGCGACAGCGCAGCTCGCAGCTCGCAACGACGTTCTCGGAGTGGCGCACCGCTGCGGAGGCACGCAGCCAAAGAAGCCTGTAGCACAATGCATGCGCCGCACGCCTTCAAGCTTCGCGCTTTGCCCGAAACTTGTCTCCTTGTGTGGTGGCCAGCTCTGCCATGAATTCGGAAAGCCCCAAGCCTAGGCTGGAGCCGCGACAACAGAAACCGGAGGCGGGCTCCGTGCTCTGCGGCCGCACCGATGCCAAGACCCTGGAAGTCGGGGAGCACGACAAGGCGATGCTCTCGACAGTCCGTCCTCGGCTCACCGCACTGCTCGCACTGCTCACGGCACTGCCCACGGAGCTGCACCGAGGCATGTGCGAGCCGCTGGCGGCTTCCCGTGGCAGCAGCGCCAGAAAGGCCACGGCCTCGTCCTTGGCTCTCAGACTCGGGTCGAAGCTCCGTGTCGTCCCGGGCGCTAAGCTGCTCTGCAGCGGAGGCTCTCCCCAGTGCACTTCGGCGCAGGTGGCGGCCGGGCTGAGCTGGGAGCTCAGGTAGTGGTGCCGAGCCTCCCCGCCAATGCGCCGAAGCCCGAAACAAGAGACCGAGACCGCTCTCTCGGAGTTTCTGAGTGTCTGGCAAAGCGCCGCCAAGCCCTGGTTCCATCGGCGTGCAGAAGGGACACCCTCAGCTTCAGCATGGGCTGCCCGAAGCCCTTTCGCACCTCCGGGCAGGATGGGCTGAGGGCCAGGGCCCAAAGAAGTCGGGAAACACATGGAACAGAGCAGGAACAGCGCAAGAACACAGCGCCCTTTTCTCTATGCAGGTTCTCAGAGCCGCACAAAGTCCATTAGCTACCCAAGACCTCGCGCGTTTTTGCACGTGTCATTCATAATTATCAACTAGTGAACATGCGCCCGGCTATGCCAGGGCCTACTCCCACCGTTGCGAGATGCAGAACAGTAGGAAGAAACCCAAATGTAGAGCGCGGTAAGCTCATGTACGAGAGGCACTGGCACTGACGACGTAGTCGCCGTCCTGTCGAAACCAAAACAGACGACTCAGACTCCCACTGCGTCTGTAGGGCTGCAGGACAGAGGGGACAGAGTCCTGTGGCAGCAGAGACGCAGAGCGTTGTCTCCCATCTTCCAAAGCAGCAACCTGAAGCAAAAAAAGGGCAGGAAGGAGAACTTGCTGAAACGAGAGGAAGGTCCCGTTTTCTGAAAGGTCCCGGCTTGGTTGAGGAGCTTGCTCTGGACTTGCTGCGTCAGTCTCTTGTGCTCGAAGAAATCGCCAGAGAGGCCAGTGAGGGCCTGCAGTCCACCAGAGCCACTCGCACCCGAGCACCCGCTTGGCAGGGCCTCATGAAGCTTGGCGATGTCCTCCTGCACCGCTAGGGCCTTCTACAAGGTCGCACACGTACACAGTGCTCTGGGGACACCCACTCACACAAAGCAAGCTTTGTCTAGCAGTCTGCGAGGTCTAACGACCTAAGTAGCAGTGTGGACGACACCTCCCTGAGGAGGTCCCGGGTGCAACGCTGGGCTCCAGGCTGTGGCGTTGCCCTCGCGTCCTCCAGAGTCGACTTGATCCCGGAGTTTGACCATCAACTGCTCCACCTACGCCACAGGTCAGAAGCACACCACAGCCACAACAACCACTGAAATTCCGTCTTTTTCAGACGTTGATGTGATACATGCTTCATTGCAGAGTGTCGCTGGTGTTGCAAGTAATTAGCCGCATCACCCCTCAACCCGGCTCACCCCAGCTCGCCAACCCGCTACAATCACTACAAAGATGCTCAGTTTCGAGCAGAACGTCAATGCTTGCCGGGAGCCTCTTTCATTTTGTGCGTCACGGTGTCCTGCGTGGCCTCGCCGAGTAATTCATGACAAGTAAAGTGCCCATGGACGCTGTAGCTAGGGGCGTGGGGGGAAAGAGGAAATCTGACCACCAGCCTGCACCTGGCGCTTCGACGTCACGATCTCACTGCTCGTGGACTGCAGCTGCCCCTGCCACGTCGGAGCTGGTGGGCCGGGGCCACAGACCAACTTCGAAGTTTGGGCCTGCAGCTGCACCAGGCTGTGTTGGAGCTGCTGGTGCGTCGCACTGTAGCTCTTCTTCAGAGCCTGTACCAGGACAGAGGGAGAGCTTTGTCACGAAGGCCAAAGGAGTCTTTGTGGCGCCTCCAGCTCCGCAGTCTTCATGGACAGCTGCCGCCCCAGCGCGTGGATCTCGCTAAGCAGCTCCTCTCTCGCACGGAAAGCCCACGCCAAAGTGACGAGGTCGCTGCGACGGCGCCGCGCCTGATCCGTGGCAGCCTTCTGTTTCACCAGCGACGTTATCTCTGTGAACGCGCTCCTTGCAGGCGCAAGGAGCGCTTTGCTTGCGTGCTGTCATGTGCACATCGTCAGGTCCGGGACCAGGCGGCTCTGGGAGCTTAGCCGAGTCTCGTGAGCTTCTCACGCAGGTCCGTGAGTTGCGACTGCATTTGCTGCTGTACAGAAATGGAATGTCTCTTGTACCTGGTGTCTGGGTCTCAGGGACAAAGCAAGACAGTCAGATTGCGCTGCTCTCACAGTGTCTTGCCGATACATGTGGGTCTGTGCCAAGGGGAGCACTCTGTGAGGTCGGCGCTGTTCGAGGTGATGCCATCGCGTATCACACTCATTTCGGCCATCATCGCTTGCCTGTGCAAGGGAAACCCACAGTGCGCGCAGCTTGCAAGAACTTCTCCATGATGCTGTCCAGGCACAGGCTGCCGTTCGATCGAGCCTTCATTTCCTCACTGAAGCATGTAGCGTGCATTCGAAGTTATGAGTGGGCAGAAGTCCTTTTCCTGACCCCGTGCCCGCTTGTAAGCAACGGCATCAATGCTTTCCTAGGGTCGCTGAGCCACTGGGAGAATGCATTCATGGTTGCGTCCACGTCGGCATGGCTGTCGACAGCATGGTGTCCTGGATATACATCTGCAGCACAAAGACACTACCGGAGAGCTTCGAGGGTTGTCACAAGTCGAAAAGAAGGCTTTGCAAAAAGGAGCCTACGGCCGCACTCTGAGCTTCTACGACGGCCTGGGCCGCCCAGAACCCCGTTGCTGCTGGGGCCCACGATGGCCGCCATGGCACTTCCCCGCTCGGGGCTAAGATGGGCTCCGAGCTGGGCTTCGGCTGCGGATCCGGAAGCAAATCACAACATGGCGCTATGCGATCTATGCGCACATTCACGGATATATGTATGTTTGTATGTGTATGTGTATGTGTGTATACATACATACATACATACATACATACATACATACATATATACATACATATATGTCTATATCTGTCGGTCCGTCTGTCTGTCCGTCTGTCTAATTATCCATTTATCTACATACACACTATAAATGCATTCCCAATGCAGCAAGGAGCAGCGCCCGGCCCGTGCGAAGAACAGTGATTCCGCAAACTGGAAGAGGCCCGTGCCTGCTCGGCCTCGAAGCGTGGCATCTCGCTGTCGCCCAGTTGCTCGACTGACTTCTCCTTCCACAGCGAGAGTTGAAAGCCCAGCCTAGGCCCAGAGGCCCAGAGGCCCAGAGGCCCAGAGGCCCGGCGAGGCCTGGCCCATCTCAGGTTCCGCTGGGCTCCGCCAGAGCGTGGCAGAGCCGGTGTCCAGCATCCACCGTGGCCTCAGCAGATCCACCATGTCCGGGTGCAAGGTGGCGGCCTCAGCGCGCACACGCAAGATGGGGCAAGCTCTTGCTTCACATGGCTTTACCGTGTGTCTGGCCACCACGCGCTTGAACGATAGTGGCTCCTTTTGCAGAAGCTTTCGCAGGCCTGCAGAGGCTGCAGAAGCAAGGCTTTGCTACGGCCAGCCGCTTGAGCCAGAAGTCATCAGAAGTCCGAATAAGCTCTCCCACCTGCACAGAACCGACGGCGAGATGCAGCATCCTCGGATCAACACAAGACGGGCAGCCATCGTTTCCCTCTCTGCACCACACTCCTCTGAGTCGGCCACGAGCTGAGAGCCAAGCCTAAGATCACCATTAAAATTTAAAAATGCCGGCTGCTTGCACCAGACAGCCAGCCAAGCGGCTCGTCCAAGACCACCGTGCTCCCACCTGAATTGGCATTGCATCCAGTCAGCTGTGGCTCAGAATGCATCTCACGGCCGGGATGATGACCATGCCACAGAGCATCTGCGACAGCATACCTTCAACTCATACGCTCGCACACAAAGTCGTTAAAGGGTTTAGCGGTCTCAAAGCAGCGCAGCTCGAAGTCATTTCCGGCATTCTTGCGGCCACGCTGCTGGTGGAGCTCGCCCGTGCTATGCGGTTCCTGCACGAATTGCATCTGGTGATTCCAAGTAGAAGGCTGCGTACTTGCTGAAGCCCGTAGATGAACAAATTGATTAAGTTGTTGTATGTGAATCGCTGTTTGTGTGTACACGCATACATACACACATACACACATACACACATACACACATACACACGTACACACATACACACATACACACACACGTACACACATACACACA